GAACGTGGACACACTTCCCGTAACTTACAGAGCTAAGAAAAATGTGTGGACGACGAAAGAACTTTACGTCCTGTGATTCCTCGAATGGGACAAGAGCTAGGCCAAAGTAACCGACAAATTATGTTGCTCGGATAATTGTGCAGCGCATCCACAGGCAGAATGCCTGAAAAACATGCAAATGGAATATTTTCCTGCAAATACGACCAGCATTCTTCAATCCATGGATGAAGGTGTGATTATGAAGCTGAAAATTCCTTACAGAAGGAAACTTGTAGACCAAATTCTTTATCACATCGAAAAGAACATGTTATCTGGCTGATCGTCGGCGGCACATGTCGGCGCCAAGATTTCTGTGCTCGATGTAACTCAGTTCGTTTCAAAAAGTTGTAGACAGGTTATCGGTGCAACAATAAAAGCTTGTGTTATAACGGAGGTAAGAATACTCTACCAGTCCCCATTGTTTTGTGAGTTTTATTCCACTCACCCCTATTCACCCCGTCCTCTTTTACGGTTCCCCACATCTCTTTTCTGTTACCTTTGTGATTAGCTTGGGTTGACACAGAATCATATGCTTAAGGGTTTTTCCCTTAAGCTGTACATTTCGCCCGTTCGTGAGACACCGTATCGATCCTCCGCCCCTGGAATTACTAGCTTTGATTGATCGAATGTCAGTCTTTCTACATAGCCTGTAAAAGGCCCTAATTTGAATCATATGATTGTTGCACACAGGCTTGGTGGCCGGTTTGGCGTGCGGCATGAACATTGTTTGTTGCCCGGTGGTTGATGTTCTCACTACCGTTAGTGGGTGGAAGCAGTCGTAGGGCTCCGACACAACAGCTTGCTTTTCGCATGCTGTGTTCTGTCGAATGGCATCCGGTGCACATTCTGATGACGCCGTCATCGCTGAGGACGAGATCAGCGCTTGCACAATTCCAGTCATCAGTGCAGAAGAGTTCGTCGCCATTGAACACGATGTGGAATGTACCTCAGGTCTGACAACAATTGAATATGAAATCGTCAGTAAAATTCTGGAGAACCGACTGGAAGAGAAAGAAAGCAGCGACACAGAGGGTGACGTGACGGATGCCTCCGTAGGTAACAGAAATCCGCGCGTATTGCATTTAAGAGCAAAGAACTGTGAATGATCTGTATAGCTACGGACTTTTGCATTGGCTAGGCAAATATTTCTCATCCAAATTGGACTTCACCAATGCGAAAGCGACTTGAGAAGCGGAGCAAAATAATGTCCAGCTGACGCTGGATTGTTTTCTCTGCAAAATACAGAGTAGCGCCAGCTTCTATAGTTATCCAGGTAAGATGCTTTATGGTATAATTTTTAAATAAAAGTTCATGCTCTTCTGATAAACGCCTTTTAATGCTTTTGTTACAAATGCGTATTTTATCCTTCGTTACAATGCAAGTGATATCCTGTATTCTCTATCCTTTTTGGAAAAAATTACAATATCGGTTAATTGGTTAGCCCGCTTTATTGCGCACTTCCAAAATATCCCGATGGTGGACAATAAAGCGGGTTCGACTTTATTTTATCTTCATAGCCAATTCCTGGCACTCCAAAAAGCTCAGGTTTGCCGACTGCGACTTCAACGACGGATACTAAAGCTCCGGTGTGCCATAAACTACGTGGTTATGACCAATGAAAAACGCAAAGGACAAGGAAGCCGAGAATGATGTCCATCGACCTGAGGCGTCGCAGCTTCATGCTATTTCAAGCATCCGTATCCTCTTATACCAGTTCTCATGTGCGTTATGAACACGTGGCGTTTTACAAAGTCTGATTGGTCGACTCATTCGTGTATATGAAGGCTGGCTGAAAGTAAAACAAATCGCCTTGTTCAGAAAGAGAACCGATGGTATATTTTGATCCCTGAAGGCGACTTTTGATGTGGTAGCCAATGTTAATATTATCCTGTCTCCGTAGAGTGAAAACTTGAAAATTCCATGGCGAAATTCAGGGTGCGACTACTGAATTAAGGCGGCGCAAGGACGGAGGAGCAAATATCCACATAGTAAATTTTCTGGTAAATAAACGGATTTCTCAACCAATCCGGATCAACAGGTTGCTGTTACTTCAAGCAAGCCCAGCTGTTCCTACAATGGCTTAGTGTGGCGTATACTAAGTTTTACTGGTGCTTAACATTTATAAGAAAGAATCAATGAACAACAATGAACAATGAATTTATACGGGTTAAGAAGCGTTGCTTTACAAGCCCCGTTGGATAGTTGGTGGGGATATCAACATAATAATTATGATGAAAAGGATAGTAAAATAGTTAACACTTTAAGTACGAAAATAAGGACTTATCGTTTGCTTCGCTGCAGTCCTGCGATCCACTTAGATTCACAACACCCACAGTTAACAACAAATAATTCCAGGGTAAACTCCAGGTGTAGGATGGAGACGTAGTGTTAAGTAACAAAGTGTAAGTGGATGAGTGCATCGTCCAACCGTCTTTTAAATATTGTTAGTGTCGGTGCAGAGACGACCGATTCTGGGAGAGCATTCCACGGGTGACAGACACGAATGGAAAAGAAATTTCTGCGGCACTCCAGACGACTGTATTGTTCTGCGAGTTTTAATGAGTGGCCCCTCAGGTTTGTATTGCTGCTGAGTTGCAGTAAAGGGCGGCACACATGATGTGGGTTTCGCAGAATCAAGCATGTCATAATCAGGTCGCCTCGTAGCCTGCGATAGCTTCCACTGAACAATCCTAGTCGTCGCAGCCTCTCCTGGTAGGACAGATTGCGCATTCCAGTTACGTTCTTAGATGCCCGGCGTTGAGGCTGCTCCAGTGCATTAAGGTCGTGTTTCAGCCATGGATGCCAGGCTTGAATTGCGTATTCGACATGGGGGCGAACATACGCACTGAGCATTTGTCGAAATATGGAGCTGTTTATTTGTCCAAACGCCCGCCTCAACAGCCCAACGTGTTGATTCCCGGTCTTCGAGGCCTTTTCCGATTGCCTGGAGCAACCCAAGTCATCTTGAACCAGGACACCCAAGTCACGTTCGAGAGTTGATTGTTGCAGTACATCCGTTCCGAGTCGGTATGAGTAGCTGCCCTGATGTCGGATGGAAAGCACCTTGCATTTACTGACGTTGAAATGCAATAAGTTTTGGATCGACCATTGATACACTGTATCTAAGTCACTTTGGAGCACATGTTGGTCGGCGTTCGCCTGGATTCTGCGCCAGATCTTGATATCGTCGGCAAACATTAGGAAGTTTGAAGCGATTCCCTGTGCAAGGTCATTAATAAACACCAGAAACAAACGTGGACCTAGAACCGAGCCTTGCGGCACACCACACTCGACTTGTATGGGGTCCGATAAAGAGCTCCGAACTCTGACCACTAATTGCCTTTGAAATAGAAAGTTGGCGATCCAGCTTAAAAGAGGGTCTCCGATCCCGTAATGCTGCAGCTTGGATAGTAGTATCCGATGGTCTAGACGATCGAAAGCCTTGGAAAAATCCAGGTAGATCACATCAACACCTTCTCCAGCGTCGGCTGCCTCGGTCCAACTACTGCGTGCAATGAGTAAATTAGTTGTACATGACCGCTGTCGACGGAAACCGTGCTGTTCAGGAGTGATGAGGTTGCAGTTTTCCAGATAGCACACCAGTGCATCGGCAACTATGGATTCCATGACCTTGGAGAGTATAGGAAGAAGGGTTACTGGGCGGTAGTTGGAGGGATCAGATCTGCTTCCACCTTTGTGAATCGGGCTTATTATTCCAAGCTTCCACATGGCGGGAACTTGGTTCTGGTCTAAGCAGTGCTGGAAAAACTGAGCTAAATGTCCTGCCAGTTGGTTTGCTGCTACTCCCAATGCCTCAGGACGAATGGCGTCGACACCCGGCGAGCTGTGTTTGCGTAGAGAGGTCAGCTTTTGCAATACAGCCTCTGCGGTAAAATTGATGTGGGTTAGTCCTGGTGAGCAGAAGACAAAGCTTGGTAGATCGCTTGGTGGCAAGACCCTTTGAAACGTAGGGGCGTATTGCATCTGCAGCGCGTTTGCAGCTTCCATAGACGTTCTTGTTGGGCCGTCAGCCGTCTTGAGTGGAGGAAATCCTTGCCTCACCTTTCGTAGGCTATTAACGTGCTTGTACAGCAGTTTGTGGTTAGCACTGAAGGTTTTTGCGATGTTCTGCTGATAGGC